CTTGTCGGGCAGATGGCATTTTATCTGCCAGCCACGCTTGCAGGGGGTTACAAGACTTATTAGTTCTCCATCTTTAAATTCACAGTATGGACCTGGGATCTATGGCACGAAATGGTGTGGAAAATTCTTCATTAAAAGGTGGGGCTGGGGCAGGGGAGTGGGGGGCCACCGGTAAGAGTCAAAAAAGGGTTGGAGACTCTCGCCAGTCCCTGTCAAAGCCGAGACCCCTAGCATCGGCACATCCTCAAGCTGAAAAATGCAAGCATGCACCCCACACTCTAGGCCCACTGAGTGGGGAGCTCGGGGGAGCAAAGCCCTGAAATCTTTGTGTGGGCTAAGCAGCCTGGTGCTTCAATATCTGCCTTCTGCTCTGAGACTGTTTATTGTAAACACCAGCCTTGGCCCCAGCATGTCCCAGCTTGCAGAGGGTGCGTGGGTGTACACTGGGCAGGGCAGAAATCGCTGGAGATAGCCTTCCACTAGTGTTGGCTGCGGTGGAGCTCCTCCTGGCCCTCTCCACTACCTCAGGTCCAGTTCTGCTCTCAAGGCTCAGCAGCAGGAAGATGCCCGGGTGTACACTTTGCAACCATTCCTTATTAGCCACTTCCCTCCCAACTCCTGGGATCATTTCCAAAATAAGCTATATGTACCCATAACCCCTCTGATGCCTCCTTTTGGGAGAACACCAGCAAAGTCACCAACCATAAGTCTTGTTTCTCATGGCTCAGTCCTTCATGTGTTTTGAAACGTGAAACATGAGGCTAAATGGACGGCTTGTTGCTTCCATAGAGTGAGCTACATGTCTGAGCCTCAGGAGGCCTTAGTAAGCCCTGGGTTCTTTCCTAGATCTAGCCCTGACCATTGCCTTCCACTGCCTGACTCAATTGCTTCACCTGAAAAACAAGGCCCCTCCAAGACAGCTGAGCTGCCTTGAAAACATGCCCATCATCCTAGGCAAAGCCAAGAGTTTCAGGTCTGTAATATGTTCCAGGAGTGGGGTTTATCTGAGCTTTCTTGGAAAGCACTTCAAAGGTTTCCTGAGAACTAGAATCACACAGATTTGTCTGGGCACGTGATCTCTTTTGCAATCCTTCTTCTAGCCTCCTCCTACTTGAAATCTGGCTGTCACCATGCACAGAGCTGTTTATAGACGGCATGCCATCTCTGGCCTGCGGGGGAGAAGAGAAATGTGTCTTCTGAATGAAGAACCCCAGGAAGTCACCTTCCGTGCACTTCACGTGGTTATCTTTGAGGAAAGCCCTAGGGTGTGGCAGGAGCCACAGCTCAGGGAACCCACCCAGCAGCCAAAGCCACACTGTTCTACTTGTACTGGCACTGAGCTCGCTGATGTGGCCACTGCTGCGTCAATATCGCAGCGAAGTTGGGTTTCTATTCAATTTACTCCATCAAGAAGAGGACGTGATACTGGCTCTAACATGGAAACGAGGTGTCCACTCTATGGCCACTCCCCTAAGGAAGCCTCCTGGGTGTCTGATGCTGCCAAGGGAAAAGCTTCCTTTTGGAAAAGTGGGCATTTTCAGGACACCAGGGTGGACATGGAGCCTGGACACCTGGCAGCTGTGACCTGAAGCCTACGGGCTTTGGGGAATTCATTCTCCCTTGTCCCTTCCTCCTTTTCAATTTAGACTTTTCCCTCCACTCATGGTTCACCACAGCCTTCGCTTACAAGTGCCTCTGTTGCCAGGAGAACCTCCCAGTTGCCACATGTGGCCTATTTGGCATCAATCCATCCAAGATGCCCTGTAACAGAAAGCTGCTCATCAAGGCTGAGCAGGCACCCAGCTCTCGGTCCTTTAAGTACAAAAAGGACATATGGGAACGTAAGTGTAGATTTAAGATTGAGCTATTTAAATATGGCATTAGCAGACGGCCCACCTTAGGGTGGAGGGAGAAGTTCAAGACTCAGAGCCAACCTAGACCATGATGAGCAGCCCCATGGGAAGCCCAACCAGCCTTGCCAGTGTGGCGAGGTTATTTGAAACACAGCTAGCTCTCCCAGGAGAGCGTGGGAAGGAGGGACTAGGCGGAGGCTTCAGGGCCGCTGTGCAAGAGCAGACAGACTGCTTTAAGGCTGCCGAGCTCCAGCATGCACCACTAATAATAGATGCAGAGTTTTGGGTGGCGTGGCAGGATGCCCGAAGAAGGAGCACAGGATCCAGGCACACAGTGCATGCTCGCACCTGGTATAGACTCAGCCACTGTGCCCGGGAGTCAAAGGCCTGAATGCACAATACAGTGCTGTTCTGCCTGGAGTTGCTGCTGTGTAGCCTGTAACCCTGCCCAGGCAGATATGGGCTGGAAACCAAGGGAAGAGGAGCCCAGGCTCAAAGAAGAGGCTCTTTTGGGTTTGACTCCAAGCTCTGGCCTTGTAGCACAGACTAGCAGACAGCTGTGCACAGAAAATGCCAAGTGAGCAGAATGGTTCTGCTGTTAGCTGACCAAGGCACCTGAAGTGAGCCTCAGTTTCCCCGTGTGTAAGTGATGTTTGAGGGAATGTCCCGTCACATACACCGTGTTTGTAGAAGGACATGATAAGCCCATGTGACTTCTGACGTGTTTCCTATGGAATACAGGTCAGACCATGGCTGCCACGGATACCCTCTACAGCCTGCCCTGTGTCGGAAAGCCTTCCCTAAGCATACATATGTCCAGTTCTGTAATCTGACATCAAAATTACATATTTTGAATTAAAATGGAAAGGAGAAACATTGGTCCCAATACTTTAAATTTTCTAAATGGATTCCTATAAATCCTATCACCCTGACTTCAGAGAAAGCAAATGGAACCTCTGAGTGAGGCTTTTTAACTTCCCTGGAGAGGGATATAAAACAGTGGAGGTGCCTCATGGTCTGGAACACTTTACAGGTGACTTGAACATGGGCATTTCAGCCTTGCACAAAGTGGAATTCAAGAATGGGGGGAAAGGGCATATTTTTGTATGTGATATATATTCATACACAGGAGCAGCAAGACCTGTATGGAGGTGCACAGGGCACAGCCTCCTGAGAGGCAAAGTGCAGGGTGACTCTTAGGAGTACCCCAAAGCCTATGTGTATGGTAACAGGGCAAGAGCCTGAGCCAGGGGCTAACAGTATATCTGCTCATCTCCAGGGCTTCATCCATATTCAGGTCACAGTAGGATGGTGAGTATTAATGCCAGGTTCCCCAGAATTCTAGTTCTAGAATATTCTACTGCCAACTCAGAGTCAGTGGGCCCTCAAAGGGTAAAAACAGAAAAGAAGTGTTCTTGTACAGAGCCTGGTATCTTCTCCACCCTGACTCACCCGTTAGCACCTGACTGACTACACAGCAGCAAAAGTAGGGTTCACACGCTTAGTATTACAGCCATGCAGAACCCTGATTTGCCTAATGACTAAGTTTCCCCTTAACTACTTTTTAAAAAATATTTTTGCATGTATGGGTTTTTTTTTTTTGCTTGCAAGTGTGTATATGTACCATGTGCCTACTTGGTACCTATGGAGGCCAGAAGAGATAGATACCTCGGGATGCAAGTTACAGTTGTGAGCTGCCATGTGGGTGCTGGGAATTGAACTTAAGTCCTCTAGGAGAGTAGTCAGTGTCCTTAAACACTAGACCCCCTCTCTCTCCACCCACCCACCCATACACACCCACAATTCCTCCTAAATCAACCAGTTTATGACATCCAATCCTAAAATGTACAGAGTCCTAGTTTTCTGGCTTGGGGTGCCACACACATGGGATCTCACGCACACCAGAGGCCAGGCTGCAGCCTTATGAGGAGGTGTCAACCAGCAAATGCATCATCTTCCTGTGTTTGCTAAGTCACAGACTGATCACACACACACACACACACACACACACACACACACACACACACACCTTTTTTAAGTCATAGACATAGCCAACTTTGAAAGATGAAATCACCCATCATGAATCAGCAGCTTCTGAGCTGGTAGAAAGAGGGTCAAGACAAATGGCCATGGGCGTGGTTACTTTTCATTGGGCTACTGAGAAAATGTGGAGAGAAGGGGAGATGGCTCACCATCCCTCACGCCAGCTAGTACCAAAGGCTTTGGAGCATGGTACCGAGCACCCACGGAAACAGGGGGCACAGACAGTGGGTGCGTCTCCAATTCTGGGCAGCAGCTGGTACCTGTCTTGCGGGGTTCTTACCCATGCCCTTTGTTCTACCGAATACAAGAGGTAGGTGGGAGGCCATCTCACAGGCACCTTCCATGCACAGTCTGTGGCGAGCACTCTGGCTTGAAGGACATGCAGACCTGGAATACATTCCACATCCTGCCTTCCACAGACTTTCATTCCATCACTACGCCGATGAAGGCAAAGGAAGCATCTGTCAACCAGAGATCTTAAGTCTTACTGTGTACCACATTGGGCCTAAAATAAATGCGCCAAATCCACACACATACACAACCAGGGTTGAAGGTGACAGGTCCCCATGACCCAAACAACATGGGTCAAACATGACCCGAAACACGACTCAGAAAAAGAGGCAGAGTACCACCTGCTGTGGAGTGGGACTTCAGTGGGGCACCATGTGACAGGAACCCCACTTTCATGGCGTCTGTCTGGGGCATGGAAGGCAGCACCCAGGAAGCCGGAACCAGAGGAGGTACCGCCATCTGTGGGCAGAGCTGCAGCCTGGAATCAGCACTCACATGGAGCTGTAGGGCAGGGGCAGATGTTTGGGCAGCTGTCATATTCTATCACAAGTTTGCTTGTCCCGGAGCTGCCAGCTCACCTGCCTTCCCCTTGTGTTGTGCTTATCATAGAGAACTGCAGCTACACCTTCCTAGCAGAGCTTCCCAGTCGAGTTGAATTCAAATTTTTGCCTGAACAACTATAGTCGAAATTTGCCTCTCACTAAAAACATACAGCATAGAGCATTCATCTCACATCTTTCTTAGTCTTAAAAAATATAAATATAGGGGCCATTTGTACAGGATGTGTGGGTATATACACCTCTAATACGCATCTGAGATGTGTGGAACATGTTTATGAAATTTGAACTCAAAGGAAACCTCCTTGGGGGGGGGGATTTTGAAAGGGTGATGAGCCCACAGACAGCTGCCCCAGTTCCCATAGGCTGAGAGCAGTGGAGCCCAGGTCCCCTGACCTGGCGCACAGCATGGGGAGGGCTCTGGGCCTGGTCAGTGCTTCCTCGCCACAGGTTTCTGGAGGCAAAGCTCACTCCCGGCAGAGACGATGGGCAGGCTGCTCTCAAGATGGTAGTGGATGAGGTGACTGATGCTGTCGAAGATCCTGTCCTTCGTCCGGATCTGTGAGGATGAAATAAGCAGAGGTTGAGCAGGTGTCACGAGAAGAGAAGAAAGAACACATTGTGGTAGAGCTATTTGGACATCTGACTCTGCCCAGGAAGGCAAGCGGAGGAGCAGGCTTCCTGGACCCGAGGGCTCACCACGCTTCAGAGATGATTTCTGTACAGACCCTGGTCAGCAACAACAGCTGGTCATCGACAACAGCTGGGCAGACAACAGCTGGCCAGCAACAACAGCTGGTCAGACAACAGCTGGGCAGTGACAGCAGCTGGTCAGTGACTACAGCTGGTAAGCAACAACAGCTGGTCAGCAACTACAGCTGGTCAGTTTAGTGTGCTTCATCCACCTGTCTCTCTGAGGCAATTTTTGAACATTTCAATCCACTGCCCTGTGGACACTGCCTACTTCATTCCTGATCTCCTTGGCCTCACTGGGACAACAGAAAGGGAGTCCCAACTATTGAAAACAAGAAAATATAATAAAATGTAGTTTAGGAAGGAAAACAAAACTGCCTTTGCTTACATACTCCTGCGTGGCTCTGATATGGAAACACCGACAGTGAAAGCTATTCTTGACCTAATACACCATTAAAGTAAATTTCCAAGATCTGAAGTTAATACGCAAAAGGCCAGTGAGATGGCTCAGTGGGTAAAGGTGATCTGAGTTCAAACCCTGGGACTCTTGCGAAGGTGGAGAAAGAGAACCAACTCCACAGAGCTGTCCTCTAACCTCCACATATGCACCATAGCACATGTGCCCTCTTACACACACACACACACACACACACACACACACACACCACCTAAAAACAATAAGTAAATAAAAAATCTTAAGTCAATCACTTTCTTATATTACTAGCAATGACTACATAAAATTTGAAATTTAAAACAGAATATCAATTACATTAACATAAAAAGGTTGGCTACTCAGGCATTCAATGAAATATTAAGGTACAAATTTAATTAAAGAAAGCTACAAAATCCTGATGAGAAAAACAAAGAATTCAATGAAAACAGAAAATATTCCTTGTTCATGGATAGCCAGACCATACACAAAATCTCCGTCATTTCCAATCCAGTCTTTAGATCCCATACAATTTCAGTCAAAGTCTTTGCAAACTAAGTTGTTGCTACAAATAATTTTTTTCAAAGTTTATGTGAAGAAGAAAAAGATCTGGTCAGGAAAATATGGAAGAAAAGAACAAGACTAGTTTCATGGTCTAACGGCTGGCACTCTGGACCCTGAAAGAAAGGAGCAAACATGGAAAACTGTCATGGCTTCAGGGCTTACTGTAAAGCTATAGGAATCAAGACAATGAGGGGTTAGTGGAGAGACGGACACACGCCTCCATGCAGCCCTCACAGGGAATTCATTTCTCTCCCTTCCACTTGCAGCTGTGAACAAGTCCAGCCTCCAATCTCTGGACCAAGGACAACCTTGAATTATAGCTTCCTTCTTATCTAGTGCTTTCTTGACTTCTTGTGCCTGGCATGTAGATGAGGCCAGGCTAGGACATGATACGGAGCTTACCTTTGGACCCCACACTAAAATCCCATGAGACTTAGAAAACCCCACTGTCCTTAGGGATAGAAGGGCCCTTCCTTCATGTAGTAGTAGCTTGTCTCTTTTGATGCAGCTCCCTTAAGGGCTTTGAAGGTACTCTCTCCCCGGTGAGGGCCTCATCCTGATGCCTCTGGACCAATGCTCTCTCTCCTGATGCTCTATTCTCCCATGTCAAGGTCTGGTCATGGCTGCCCATGGTCCTGAGTCTCTCCTAACAAAGGGAAATCCCATCTCAGCTTCCCTTTTCTACAAAGCCTGATGTTCTCCCTAATATTTACAAAGCCATAGGCATAGTTGTGCCCCTGCTGTCTGGGAATAACAACAAGAAGATTCTAAGCACTGAGTACAAACAGTTTTCTTCTAAAGTCACAGACAGCCATAGAAGATCCTGTCACAGACAGCTCCACCTTGAAATGGTATCTCAGGGCCTCTGAGTTGGAGACAACACCAGTCTCTCACCCCGAGAAGATAACTGCCTTCACGCTGTGTCCCCCACAAAACCATACGGCAGACCTTACCCTACCTATTGGAGCCCAGAAGACTTTAGAAGTGCCCTGTCTCTGTGAGGCCTCTGGAGTTGGGGTGTCATCTGACCAGTGGCAGAAGAAACCACAGGGTTTTTTTTCTGTGAACAGTGGGGAAGTTGAAACCACTAGCCTCAGTGTCTCCAAAGCTGTCTCCCACCACACTCTCTGTCATCAAAGGCAGTATCAGATCCACACACAAAAGGGAGGCCGCCCACAGGGAACACAACTGTTCCTATACCTTTGGGAAACTCCTCAAGCGCAGAGTCCCACTGAAGAAGAGGAAGTGGCCACTCCCTGTAGCCAGGCTTGCCTAAGGAAGAGTCAAGAAAGGATGCTAGTCTAAAAAACGCTCCTTGGTGAGGCACCTCCAGAAATTGTGCCTTTATCGCCCCCTTGTGGCCACAAGTACACAATGTTAAGGAACTAGAAATTTTCTAAGGGAAAGGGTTCCTTCTCCACAGTATGGTGTCTGGAAAGACTTTGCTCCTGGACAACAGCTCTGTCACTCAGAACTCTATATGGATGTCACACTATGCAGCCCAGGAAGAAGCTGAGAGGGGCAGACCCATAGCATGCCAGGAGCTTCACAGGTTTTTCCCAAAGAGGGACTGCTAAATGGTTCTTCCCACCCAGGACCTCCACTGACAGGGAAGTCACACCAGTCCACGGCCAGAAGTGACTTGCACAATCATGGTGGGTGGCATCTTCATTTCTGTATTTTTGTACAGTGATCTATATGTATAGTCCCCATAAGAGCCATCACCCAGAAAACTGAGCTAAGCCTTGAGTCATTGTGTCCAGCAGAGAGACCAGTCCCTGCCACCCTCAACAAGGATGACATGCAGGCTAGTCAGTACTGGGCCTCCAAAGGAATACCCAGGCAGGAACTTGGCTAATGTTGGTCAAGCAACTGACAGTGTCTGCAGAGGTCAGAAGCTGGGAAGAAGATGCCCCACAGCACGCTAACTGGACACACAGCCTGGAACACCTGGTAGGGGGACAGAGACCCCCAGCAACCATGACCTTCATACAACTTTACTTGTAGTTTGGTGGCATGTCCCAGTGATGACAGACAAGTGCAGAAGCCATCCCTGGCCCAGGCTTTGCAGAAGCAGGCCTACACAGACTTTCCCAGTGTGACGGGATCGTTGCCCAGGGCACTCAACTCAGAACCTCAGAACTTTCTCTGGTCTGTATGGAGGCCTCTGTTGACCTTCAGTCCAGTCCGCCCTTTCTTCTAGACCTAGCTTCCTTTCCATTGCTAGTTCCAAGGGAAGGGACAGTTGGGCTGTAGACATGGAACACACTGCCCCCATCCACACCCACGAAAAAAGGAAACACGCCCTCTGTGGAGAACAACAGTGTATCAACTCGGGACCGTCTGAGAGGCACAACACTCCAAATCTCTTCTCTCTCCCTGGGTCAGACACCCTACTCCATGGGCTTCTCAGCCTGATGTCCATACCCCTCCAGATGTCAGGGACAGACACCAGGAAGGAGAACTGAGCTATCGTGATGAGGACGCCAACCAACACAGCCCTAGATACCTCCATGAGCACATCCCGAAAATACCATGTCACAAAGGGAACAGACCAATTCTGCCTCAGAAGATAAACCAGATACCAGCAAAAAAAAAATTTAACTCACGTTTATAACATAAAAAAACAAAAGAATTACTACATCCATTAAAATAAAATGTATATAAAAATAACTCAGGGGATAGATAATAACTCTCTTAGAAATTAAATATACAATTTGTAAAAGCGTGTAAGCATATGTTTGTAAGTCACGGAGAGATGACGTTGAAAGGTTAAAAAATGCTCCAAAAAAGCAGAACCTTGAGGGAAACATAAGGTTTTACTCCTGCAGCTTTCCAGAAAGTTCCCCTTTAATGTTCTTAATGGCAGAGGTGCAGTCTGATGGCATTTATAAGCAAAATGACAAGGGGTCAAACAGAAATATGCTGCAAAATATTTAAAATGCTTCTCCCTTCCCTTAATTCCTGTTCTTTTTCCTTCCTGGAAAATCAATACAAAATAAAAGACAAAAAAGGTACCATGTCAGGGAAAGTGGGGGTAACCACAGTGACCCAACTGGGGTCTCAGCACCTGGGCTGCAGGGGGAGAGCATGCACACAATGGTGATCTAGTACAGGTGTCAGAGAACAAGTTGGGACACAGAAAGCCCCAGTGACTGTGGAGGTATGCCATCATAGCGCAATTTAGTAAGTAAAAGCCCTTGGGTGTACTTCAAAGCATGCTAACAGCTACCTGAGTCAAGCCTGCAGAGGACCTGGACACCAGAGCCATAGTGGTTTCTCCTAACGCAAGCATGGTGTTCACCTCACCCTGCTGGCCCTGCTTGGCCAAAAGGATGAATCAACCGCGAGTGACTCTGGATAATTTTAGACACACACGGACTGACGGGATGATTCAGGTGCTGAGAGCTCCATCTTTCCCACAACCTCTGTCACCAGCTCACGTCCATGCTATTTTAGAGTCCCCTTCTTCAACACCCCACCACGGAGACTCAGAGCTGTGCTGGGTGCCCTCCTCTTCGGCTTCCCAGTGACCTCAGTGCACAGCGAGAAAGCTCAGCGGCTGCTAGACGCCGGAGTAAATTTAGACTCAGACCGCTTTTTTGCATCCTCCTTTCTCCGAGTAATCTAACTTGCCAAGCTTCCCCCTTTATAGTCAGGGACCAGCCAATTACCATGAAAATCAGATGAATAAATATTGAAGAGAACGTGTTCAGTGCCTATTTCAGTGTCCTCACAGCGAGGAGGCAACTTTACATTTTTAATTAAGTCATTCATTTCCATCTCCTTTTCAGCTAAAGCTATCCTCTGTAGGATCAATTAAACCGAATAATCAGATCCAGCTACAAGTCCCCCAAAAGAATAGTCATCAG